CTGGCTTTCTTGCTCTTGACTAGCACGTCATCAACATAAGCTTCCACGTTCCTTCCCATTTGATCTCTGAAGACCGCATCCACCATTCGTTGATAGGTTGCCCCTGCGTTCTTGAGTCCGAAGGGCATGACCACGTAGCAGAAGTTGCCCATCGGGGTCATGAAGGCGGTCGCTTCTTGGTCGCCCTCCGCCATCTTGATTTGATGGTACCCCGAAAACATGTCAAGGAAGCTGAGCGCTTCGTGGTTGGCGGTTCCATCGATCAGCTGATCAATGCGTGGGAGGGGGTATGCATCCTTAGGGCAAGCCGCATTGAGGCTGGTGAAGTCGATACACATTCTCCAGGTGCCCCCTGCCTTGCGTACGAAGACTGGGTTTGAAAGCCAAGTGGGATACTTTACCTCACGGATGAACCCCGCTTTGAGCAGTCTCCGAACTTCTTCTTCGAGAGCCATTTGTTTCTCAACGGATAGGTGTCTTCTCCGTTGTTGTATAGACCGTGCTTTGCTTTTGACGGAGAGATTATGCTCAGAGACCTTTCGGGGGACGCCGGGCATGTCTTCCGGTCCCCAGGCGAAGAGGTCTTGGTACTTTCGGAGGAGTGTCAATAGCTTCCGGGCCTCCTCAGTGGCCAAATGCGCGGAGATGCGGACGGTCTTGTCTGGTTGATCTTCATTTAGGGGAACCGCTATATCTCCTTCCACGGCTTCGGGTCGGGGAACGTCGTCTCTGGCGTCGACGAGGTCGACTTCTAGGCGTTCAATGGTCGCTTGATATCACTCCTTTGCCTCTTTCACGTTGCCCCGGACGCGTCCTGTCTGCCCTCCACTTGGAAATTTCAGCATTTGATGGCATGTGGAAGCAACCGCCTCGAATGAGGCCAGGAAACCGCGTCCCAGGATGGCATTGTAAGCTGAAGGACAATCCGCCACATGGAACTCCACCTGCTTGGTTTTGGTGATCCCTCCTTCGCCTATGGTGACCTTGAGTGTGATTGACCCAAGGACACGGACCTTCGTCCCCGAAAACCCCACTAAGCTGGTGTTGGAGGGGTTGAGGTCTTGGATACTCTTCTTCATGCCCCGGAGCGCTGAGTAGAAGAGGATATCGGCGGAGCTCCCGTTGTCGACGATGGCTCTTGTGACTTTGAACTTGTCGGTTCGGAACGAGATGACTAAGGGGTCTTCTGAGTTCTCCTCTTTGGCTAGCTCTGAAGGTAGGAAGGTGACGTCCGACGGTACCTGGCGTTGGACGCTCAAGCAGTGGCTTAGGCGGTCGGCCTCCGTTCTGGGCCGCTTCCTACCTCCTGCGATCGTAATGATCTCCATGCCATCGTCATCTCCCCTTGGGGGTCGATATGCGGGAGACTGCCTCTGCGGCGAGGCGTTCTTGTTCCTTGTGGGCGATCGGGACCTCTCTTTACGAGCTCTTCTTGGTTTGTCTGCCTCCGGGCTGAGGGAATCTTCCCTTCCCTCTTGAGAGTTGCCCCGATGACTTCGTCGTGTTTCGAGGCGGTTACGCAGATCCCCAGGAGCTAAGTACTTCAAGCTGGCTTTGAACTCCCGGCACTCCGTCGTGTCATGAGTCGTCATTTGTTGCCAGTCGCACCACTTTTTTCCTTCTTGTGGTTCTTGCCCGGAGGACGCTTCCGATTTTCTCCCGCTCCTTCGTCTTTCTCTTCCTCTTTCTCGTTCGGTGGAGTAGACTTCTCTTTTACCGTCGCGGTCTGCGTACCGGTTTCGATACGATTTCCGTTCAGGAGACCGCCTTCCTCGTCGAGCGTCCGACCGCTCTTGTGGGTCGCTTCGGGATCGCCCTTGATGGCTTCTGTCGTCAGTGGCGAGAGCTTCTTCAAGTAAGATGGCTCTTCTTACCAATTGATCTAAGTCTGACCATGACGTTAACATGGCCTCCTTTTTTATCAACGTTCTCTTGAGCTCGATGCTGGTCGTTGATATCCTGAGGTTTCCGGCGGCTACGACCGAAGAGATCCCGTCAATTTCGCAAGCGATCGCATTCCATCGGTCGTAGAACTCCGCAAGCGGTTCCTCTTTCTTCTGTCTGCAATTCATGAGCGCCGAGACCGTGAGTTTGCGGCGCCGTTGGGACGCGAACTTTGTGGAGAAAAGCATCGCGAATTGTTCGAAGTTTTCTATCACCCCTTCCGGGAGGGAAGTATACCACGTCCGGCATTGACCGCTGAAGGTGACGGGAAACGCGCGGCACAAATCAGAGTCTGTGGCGTTGATGAGTTGCATCTTCAACATGAAAGTGCAAAGGTGGTCGGCGGGATCTGAGGTCCCGTTGTACGAGGGTAGCCCAAGAGAGGAGAAATTGGGCGGTACTGGGGTTTTGAACAGCTCCTTAGAGAGCGGATTTTGGAGGACGTTGGGACTTTTGTGTTTCCCGTAAGTCGACCGTAAGTGTTCCTCGAGGAAACCCAGATCGGCTTCGTCTGCCCCCTGTCCCCCGCCTTCTGTCCGAGCAGGGCTGTCGAGGATCAGGGCGGCCTTTAGCTTTTCTTCTCAAGTCCTTCCTTTCGACCCCTCGGGCGGGTCTTCTCTTGTCTTTAGCAGCTGGAGGATTTGCGATAGGCTATCTTGCATGCTTGCAATTTGTGCGCCTTGGCTTTTGACTACCTCCTCAAGCTCTAATTCATCTTCAACTCTTGGTGATAGACCTCGGAGGGTGTTGTTCTCGGTCATACCCTTGAGCGGGGTTTCAAAGTCGTCTCCCATCCTTTCTTGGTGACGAAGTAGTGGGCCCCACGGTGGGCGCCAAAATGTTTATGCCTGGAAAGTACCGGGCGGTTTGTGAAGCTCACTGACTCCGTGCGGTCTTGGGGGGATGAGAAGCGACCTTCGAAGTCCTGCAACAAAGGTCCTCAGGGGAGCCCTGGGACCTCCTCCGATGCCTAAGTTAGTGAGAGAAGTAGGTAGAGTGAAATAGAGAGAGAATGGGGTAGATAGGAGTTACCATAAATGTGACCCATGAGTTGGTATTTATACTAGCGGACATCGGGAAAAGGACAATCAAACCCTTGTCGGGCGCCCGAGGTCGCATAAGGACCTGTTCTCAGGAGGCTGTCAGGACCGTACCTTTGTCAGCCTCCGTACTGAGATGTCAGAGAGACGTTAGGCCCCAGTGTCGGGCGGTTTCCGAGAGTTCCGTTGGGGACGTGTCAGGCGGTTCTTTCGAGGAGACCGCCTTAGGGCCTCTCGTTAGTGTGCTCTGGGCTTATTAGGGCCGGGCTCGATTGTTTTGCTGGGCCGTTTTAGTGGTTATGGGCTTGGTGGCCCATCTATCTTAATGATTGGCCTAACAATTATAATCCAAATCTTTCATTTAAAACTAATCCAAAACATAGACAGAAATTTTAAACTCTTTACCACTATGTGGATTAATAATTCAACTACAAATATATAAATGTATTACAATTTGGCACTAATTAACAATTCATCTTGGCACTAATTAAAAATTCATCTAATAATCCTTCATAAAAAACAATTCATCTAATAATGTACGCAATATTATGTATCAATTGCAGCCAATTGCTCGCTTTATTGCTACAACTCATCATCTTCTTGCTAACTCACCGATGTGGAATCCGACAATCAATCAAATAATAATGTACAATATGAGCATAAAGTGTTTCTAGGTGAATCTAACAAATCACATATAAATTTAAATTCTTAGGGCGTTGGGCTTGGGGCAATTGAGTCCATTTATTAAATTTAGGGCGAAAATTTAAAATTTTTAGGGCGTCAATTATTAACTCCCATTTTATACCCACCCACCCGATTTATTGGAGAAAAAACCACGGTCACTTTCCTCTGCCAAGGCCCAAGAGCGATTCAGCTCCCGAGGGTTTTCCTCCGTCCCCATACCAGCAAGAACCAATGGCAGGGAAGAAGATTCCATAAGGTTCAAGCTTTACCTAACCCCGAATGTGGAAAGCATGATGGGGTTCTTTCCCTACTTCATTATTCCCATTCCGCAACCTCCGAAGTTCTCCCAAAACAATCCTCGCCGTCCAAGCCAGTAATCCCATGGCTGATCACACTTTTCCTCTCCTCCCCACCCTTCACTCGAAGACATCGGCTGCGGCGGGCGGGGGTTGTTCCTCCCGGCTTTGAAAACGATTCACCATCCCTGATGCTTACCCAATCATCGCCTCCAACCGCCATGTGGAGACCATCTTTCCCTCCTTCTTCCACTCCACCCCAGACATAAGATTCAAGCGAGAGTGCCTCCACACCAAAGACGGCGGCGGCGCGGCTCTCGATTGGGTTTCCGGCGACGATCACCAATTGCCTCCCGAGTCCCCTATTCTCATATTGCTGGTTCGTTCTTCGTTTACAAAAAAAAACCTCAATCTCCACCAAAATTAGTTTTACAAGGTGCAGTCTTTTATACCAACAGGGGGAAATTGAGAATTTGCAACCGGGTTTAACATGGCGATTCAACACCAAGGGTTTTCCTCGGTCAAAGCAGATAAAAATTTGATCATTGGAGTTCTTGCATAGCTGAATCACTCTAGGCAGAGGAAAGTGACAGCGGTTTGTCTCCAACAATTCGGGTGGGTGGGTATAAAATTAGGGTTTTCGGTTGGGTTATCAGTTTAATTGGATTTGGTCATTATTTTTTAATTACTATTTTAAATGACGTGGCATGCTGACTAAATAGAAGTAATGGTTGTTTGGATGGAGATGGACAGAATTACTTTTTTGTTATTAGTCCAAAAAATATATGCTACTGAAACGTACAAGATTAAAGTTTCGTGACCGTTCTATACAAAGTAAATAATTTTGTGACCATTTATGATAATCAGCCACCAAACCCCTGCCTCTAAACACATATCCAAAGCAAACTAAAGAAAGACAAAGGCATGCACAACAAATGTACAGCAGAAAAGCAAATGAAACACACTAAATGTCCCCTTCACCATCCAAAGATATACAGACACTACCGCCCCAAATCAAAAGCAAACGATTCTCCCATCAAACCGTCTGGGTGGTCCCCGTGGAAGCAGTCTTGTCCCGGGATCTCATCTCCACGTCGTCATTATCGCCGTGCTTGGTGGAGTCGTAGGCCTCGCCGTCGCCCCAGAGCGCGTAGGCCTCCTCCCCGTGCACGGCGTCGTCGCCGATGAGCAGCTGCTCCTCGGACATGCGGAGCGGGACGACGAGGCCGACGAGGTAGCAGATGATGGAGGTGACCACCACGTTCCACCCGATGACGAACCCGCCGCCGACCAGCTGCTTGACGACCTGGATCCCGCCGCCGTAGAAGGCTCCCCTGGAGTTGGTGACGGGGAGGAAGAGGGAGCACAGCGTGGGCTCCGCCAGCAGGCCCGTGAGGACGCCGCCGAGGAGGCCCGCGACGGCGTGGGTGTGGAAGACGCCCAGCGTGTCGTCTATTTTTTGGAGTAGGGTCCATCGCTTGTGGACGATCATCATCGTGAACCATGGGACGCTACCTGACGCGATCCCCATCACTATCGCTGCCCATCCTTGCACCACCCCTGCCCTCAACCAAAAAAAACAGAATAATGATGTGAATTTTGCCGTTGTTGATTAATTAGCTTGTTTACTCATTTATCATTTTTTGTTATACGTTAAATAATTAACAAACAGATGATCAGAATGTCCGGATTATCTAATAATATATTAAATAGTATGTGGTCATGTATAACTAATTTATGTGACTAGCTAAAAGGTTGTTTTCAATCATTAATTACTAATGACAACACCTCAACCATTTCAAACTATAACAGGTGGAAATTGTTCACATATATTATATATATTGCAAAACAAAGAACATGTAAGATCACAAAAATCACGCCAACACATGCAATCGTGCTAGCCAACATAATTCAGTATCTCTCTTTAAAGAATCTTATCCCCCTCTAGTACCCACGGTTACAGAATATGACTCCTCTAAGAATAGAAAGGACGTACGTTTTCAACGTAGTACGTCAAACTCCGAAAACCATCGGACGCAGCCAAACGGCGAGAACCACACTTTACTCAATTCTTTTCTTTTAGAAAGAACGAATCCAATTTGGATTTTGCCAGAGTTTTGATATGGGAAAATGGTGTCTATAAAATTCAAAGCACAAGTAAGAAGCTCTTTTCATTCTTTGTATTCGAGTAAAAAAGCATATCAGGACTGAAAAACAAGAGGGGATAGATGCTATCTATAGAGAATGAAGGGGTGCGTACGAAGGGAGGCAACTCTTCATGTGCGTGGTTACATACACCCCAACCATTGCATTGGTTGTTTCAAAATTTCTCAACCATTGCATTTGGTTCGGCCCATGGAAGTTGGACCGATTTGGTTATTCCAACCTTCATATCGGTTCCGTTCAGTTTGGTTTGACTCAGTAAGGTTTGGTCTTATTGATTACACAAACCAATTAACCGATTACCAACATATTTCATTCTCATTCACACCATGAAAAATCCCAACAATCATTACTAATCAACTTCAGAAAAGCTACTAACTATCCCTACTATTATCCCTAATGACTCTGCTCAAAACATCATCCTCATCATCCTGAAATGATTACTAATCATCCATTGAAGGGTATTAATTAATGGTGATATATATTAAAATTAATGGAAAAATAGAATAGAAGTTTTATACAATCAAACCGAAAAAGAAAACATGTTGCAGACTTCAGCACAGCAGGGAAGTAGGGATCCATCCTTTTTTGAGGCATGATACCATCCTTCTTTATGGTAGAATATGATATGCCATTAGCTTTTCTTTTTCTTTTTGGTAATTAATCAACTTCAAAATTTATTAATCAATCTCTGAATATATACTTAGTAACATGCATCAATCAGTAGTTGACCAGATCGATGATGGGAGGTAACTTAAGTGGTAGATAAATATAAAATGAAGAGCGGGAGCGTACCGGCGCCGGGGGTGATGCAGACAAGGCCGGTGATCATGCCCTGGACGGCACCGATGACGGAAGGCTTGTGGAAGAAGATGACATCCAGCCACGTCCACACCAGCAGGCTCGTAGCGGCGCATATGTTCGTGTTCAGCACCGCCATCGAGGAGTCCAAGTTGGCGGTGTACGGGTCTCCGCCGTTGAACCCGGCCCAGCCCATCCACAGCAGGCCCGCGCCCGCCAGCATCAGCACCACGTTGTTCGGAGGGAACCTCTCCCTGTCCTTCTTCGATCTCGGCCCCACCTGAAATACATTTTTTTCCAAAAAATTCCCAATTCATTGTTAATTACCAAGTCAGAAAAACGAAGTCAACTAATTAAGTAAACCCCTAGACCACGTAACCAACTTAATTAAGGCATGTTAATCAGGGATGAACTTAATAGTTAAACCTCCTCATCTTTTTTCTTGCCTCCCCGCGCTCGTGGATTGGCCACTAAAGTCAAACAGCTTTAATTAGCGGCAGCTGGCGATTAGCGGAAAAAGTGAACGTGATCCCGTGAATGAATCTCATCCCGGAATCTTTGCAGATTCCTCGGACTAATAGTACTCTGTTTAATTACATAAACTACTAGAATCTCCGGCTGGAATAGATACATACATTGCACCAATCGAATCCTTCTATTGACTTTTAAACTTATACTATATATTTACCGGCATTAAATTGCATGTTAATCAATAACTTAAATTTTCTATCTACTTCTCTAAGTAACATCGAGGCCAACTGTAGACATCACTATTCCCCGGTAGTTGTTAAATTATGTCTTTTCACCTAGTAATTAATTAATGATATACTAGTAATCATCACATCTGCTCATAGTTTCCTTTATTTATTGTATGGGTTTTGTCCGTCATTTTCAACCATCAACGTGACATTTTAAGTTTAGAATTTTACAATTACCAAATTAAATCCAACTTCAAATTAATTACCTCATTAGTTTTCATCAAGGTTGTCAACCCGCGGGCTGACCTGGACCCGGTCGAGCTAGTGGGTTAAGGGTTAATGGGTCACCCGTTTTAGCCCGGAAATATGGAAAGGGTCATTATATTGTAATTATCCTGCTGATAAATTATATCAAATCTCATCTAACATATGAGTTATAACATATAATATTCCACCAAAATAACATGTCGTACTTAGATCCAACATAAAGTGAAAATTCACACACACTTATATAACATATATATATATATTCAAATGTTCAACTTAGGATTCCAAAGATGGAGTTAGGCAAAAAGAAAAATCGGAAAATAGGCGCATTTCGCAAACCTAAGAAAAAAATGACACAATTTGACCTCCAACCCGGTACCTAGTAGCGGTCAACCCGACGGGTGCGTGCGACCCGTTTTTCTCACCGAGCCAGGGTCAAAGTGGGTCGACTCGCGAGTTGGCAACCTTGGCTTTCATTTAGTTATACCAAATAGTAGAAACGGTAAAAATTCAAAAAACCCATACGATAAACATAAACAATTATGAGGATAATTGATCAAAATGATCAGATGCATTTGGACAAGTAATAAATTAGCCAGTCACAATTGTTTAAAATGTAACAACAAAAAAATACATAATACTACAAAATAACAACAACAAAAAATATTTTGTGTCTATTATAATCTGTATTCCATCCAAAATGCCGGTTTAGATGTAACATGCATAAACGTCACACTCTTAACAGTTGGACTGGAATACTTGCACTGATGCACACCCGAATGATCCATTTGGATCCAAAGGGGGAAAACATATAGATAGATAGTACGTGCTACATACCCAAAACGCGGTGGTCAAGCCGGCGATCCCAGAGGACAAGTGGATGACATACCCGCCGGAGTAGTCAATAACACCCCACTGGAACAGAAACCCGCCGCCCCACAGGCTGAACGCCCCCACCGTGTACGAAAACGTCAGCCACAGCGGCACGAAGGCCATCCAGGCCTTGAAGTTCATCCGCCCCAGCACCGAGCCGGCCACCAAAATCAGCGTTATGGCGGCGAACACGCACTGGAACCACACCATCGACGCCATGGGGTAAAACGGCGCGATCATCGCCGTCTCGACCGTCTTGCCGTCGTGGTAGTAGTGCGTGGTGGCCGGCAGCGCGGCCTGCTTGATCAGGAACCTCTGGCCCAGCGCGGGCCCGGCTTTGCCCCAGAACGGGAGCAGCTTGTCGCCGAAGGACATCTTGTAGGCCCACACGGCCCAGCAGAGGACGACGGCGGCGAAGGCGTAGAGGGCCATGAAGGCCGAGTTCACGGCCCACTTCTTCTTCACGATGCTTCCGTACAGGATGACCAGACCGGGGACGCTCTGGAGGCCGACGAGGGTTGCGGAGATCATCTGCCACGCGTTGTCGCCTTTGTTCAGCCAGTCCGGGACGGCCAGCGACGTGCCGCCTTGGTAGGCTATTGGGACGACGTTGAAGGGAGGAGGAACCGCCGCCATTTTTTTTTTTTTTTTTAATGTGGGGAGGGGAGGGGGCTTCTTTTCTTTTTCGTTTGGTTTAATTTCGAGGTGCGCGGCCTTTGGTTCCTTTTTATGGTGGTGAGCTGAGCTGGATACTGTTTGGAACTTTGGATTACAGCTGTAGTTACTAGTTAGTAGAGAGCCGGCCGAGAGATTCGGGATTCTAAGATGCAATTATAATTATGACATCTTGTGTAGGCAACATGTGTTAGCGAGTTACGGATCCGCAGGAAATTTACCGGGTCAGATTCCGTTTCGTTACTGTTTATCACATGGTACATTAAAACGTACCGTACTGGTGGTTCAACCATAAAATACTAGTATCGGAGGCTAAATCGATAGGCGGTATTTAACGGTATTAATGGTTGAACTACGATTTAACCACGATTTTGCCATAAAATACCCGATCGCTGACTTTTCCGGTAAGGTCTCCAGTACGATTTCATGGATCATGGTTTATCAAACCAAAATCGAACCATTAACCATAAACCATATAATTAAAACTAGTGTGGGCCCCGGCCAGTTGGCCGGAGGAAGGTGAGGTATGAAATTTGATAATATAATGGGGTGTATAGCTTATTGTTGTATAATTTTTTTGGGAAATTCGTGATAAAAATAGTGAATTTTAGCAGGAAAGAGACATGAATGATGCTATAATGGGGTGTATAGCTTATTGTTGTATAATTTTTTTTGGAAATTCGTGATAAAAATATTGAATTTTAGCAGGAAAGAGACATGAATGATGCAATGAATCAAAAATCGGCCTTATGAACCGAAATCAAGTACATGTTACCTTGTGAAACAATATTGTTTCTAGTAATATGATGAGGTGGAGTAAGTTTTATAGAAACCGAATTCCATAAAATCGAATAAAAAATTGCTTATCCCGTCGGTTTTCGGGAAATGAGCATCTCACAATCGTTGCTAGCTTTTACTCGGCCCGTTGGTCGATTAATTTGCTTTATAAAACTTTCATCTTGTCGTCATTGTGCTTTCTGGTTTTTGTTAGGCCATGATAAAATCTAAGGAAATCAAGAACGAATAACATAATTTGGGATAGGAACCGCCATTGTCGTATCCTAGAAAATGGTGGTAAACACAGACTCACCTGCCAAACTGGTTTGGATTGAGATTTTTATCGGGTATCAGGGAACCATGTGATTATAAATTAGACTTGATCAAAACGGGCCAAAACTTGAAATTCAGCATGTTTGACCGACCCATGCCAAATTCTAATTATTCTTTACTTTTAAACTTTCTATTTGAAAATAAAAAATAGTGAAAGAAAAGAGATGACTGCAATTCGCTATTTGCACATCACTTATTCGAGAATAAAACCATAAAAATTCAAAAGGAACTGAAAATGTTTAGGATCGTTTTAATGTTTAAAATAACCAAATAGTTCGTTCTGTTTAGTTTTTTACTAACAAATACCAAACGATTCCCTATAAAATACACTATAATTTGATCATTATGATATCAAATAATTATATAATATATATTTGAAATTAGGGATGGCAATTTCGACCTGACCCGATTTACCGACCTGTTTGACCTGTTTTGGAGCAGGTCAAACCCGCCCTGTAGGCGGGGCGGGGCGGGTACCTCTCATCGACCCGACCTGCCTTGACCCGCCCCATTCTCGACCCGTTCTTGCCTATATTACATATAATCTTAGTCAAATTACTTAGAATTTTCCTCTTATTACATTATATTTTAGCTATAATAAAGTTGTAAATAAGTGAAAACCTCAATTGATTCAATAATTTAACTACATTTTATCATATTATGGTTTCTTTCTTGGTCTTTTAATGAAAATAAAGAATGTTTCTAATGTTTTTCGCATAATTACATACCCAACGGGTCGACCTGCCCCTACCCGCGCCCCGTGATAAATTACCCGACCTGGACCCGACCTGCCATGGGGCGGGTATGGGTATCGAGATACCCGCCCCGGACCTGCCCATTGCCATTCCTATTTGAAATGGTAAAAATTGAACTAATTGGGTTGGTCGAGGTTGAACCATTGAATAACTTTAAAATACATTATATTTTAGCCACTAAGATATAAAATAATAACATAATATATATTATGCGAGAGAAAATAGCTTGTTTTAGAATGACAAACCAATGATGTTCATATGTTTTACTTGATGGCCAAATCCCGTGTAGGTCAGACCCATTCAACTCTTTTATTTTATGGTTAGCGGTTAGCCCAGTAGATACCATGCATTAGTTTATTGTTAAATTTTTTATTTTTAGCAATAAAAATGAGTACTGTTTTTGCCTTTTCATATATATTTTATCACCAGGGAGAAATAAAAGGGCTTAAAGAAAAAAACTGACACTCCTGGACCCGTTTAAATCCGCATGTGTACGGTAAGTTGGCCCGTTCCACAGAGAAAAGAGAAAAAAATTGACACTCTCTATTCTACCCTTCCTACAAACGCTCATGGAGCAGGGAATTTGAAATGGGGGAAGGGTTTTTTCCTCCCTGCTATTATATGTTTTTAATTTAAAAAAATACAACAAATGTACTTAGTGTGATTGGTTATGATCCTTGCTTTTGTTTAAAATGGTCATAGTTCGAATCCCAGTACGTGTCTTTTTAATGAATAAAAAAAAGTAATTGTGAAGACCAAAATGTCCTTCCTACTTTCACTCTCGTTGCAGGAAATTTGAAATGGAGCTCCCGTTTTTCCCTTCGGTGTATTATATTATGTGTAGACTATGATTTGATCCAAGTTAGGATGCACGATCCTTGTGATGTGAGTCCCTAGTTATCTAAAAGTTGAGAATAATATATATTTTTATTGTTCCAGTCTTTTAAGTGATTTAAATTTTCGTTCTTCTAGATTAGATTTTAATTTTTTTACAAAGATGGAATGGATTTGTTGTGATCTATAAATGATATTCATTTTTAATATATTTTGAGAATTTTTTTTAATACCACTCATTGCCATCATGGTACCATCTTTGTTTTAACTAGAGTATTGAAAAATTTTTGCCAAAAAAAAAATTTCATCATGATATATTGGATATACAAATTTATTTGGAGGAGTTTAGGACCAAATATACCACTATGGTATATGATGATGAAAGGTGGTAAATGGTGGTTAGTACATTCCCACTATCATTAATTGTATGCAACCATTCTATATTATGCTATGTTCATACCATCATGGTACACTTTCATACCACGGGGTATAATATCATATACTACCAAGCATTACCACATAGTATGAACTAGTAATAATTATCTCAATTTTTTGTTCCAAAATTTATCAAAGTGGATGTAATTTTGAAGAGCACAAATCTGATTTATCTCTACAAAACAAGGGACTTGCTATTTGCCGCCAAACAAATTGCTATTTGCCGCCAACTAAAAAAAAAAAAAAAAAAAAAAAAAGAAGAAGAAAGTATATATGTACATCTTTGGTTAAGTTTTTTCACAACCTACAACATTTTCAAGTTTCAGAAAACGTTTAATTTAACTAGCTTATTACCCGGCATTTGGCGGGACCGAACGTAGTCACGGAAATTATTGTTAGATTCTAACTGATATTATCCGTTAACATGTATGTGGCGATGGTCGGAGGTAGGTCAACAACACTATATATAATAATATGATGGAAAGTTATTATCACATTGCATTACAAAAGAAAACAGTAAAACATAAACATCATGATGGACAATCCAAACCAAGCCATTAGCCTTAAATATAGTCACTATTGCCATGCACCATGATCCCCTAGAGTGAACATGAAAAAACCAAAGGAATGCTTACCTAGCTCCAATTATCAATGATAAAAATGGAAGCCACCAAGAGATTTCATAAGAAAACCCCAATCTGGATTGCCCTTAGATAAAAAACCACAGTGACACCAAAGGCGATGAGTCTCTGCCTGAGAAAACAAAAACCAACAATGTTCAAATCAAGTCGATGAAATGTGTCGGTCAGTTTTTTCTGATATATACTTTAGTTAATTAAAATGATATAAAAAAAAAAGAAATACAAAACATGCAATTTGCTGTAGAAATCTCATATACCGAGAAAAGAAACAGCCAAGCAATATATGCGTGGAAGCACCAACGGATAATAACTTTTATCAATATCCCTACCACTGTGAAATCCTACCAAATCACTCGTTACCACTCTGCTACACTAAACACACAAATGACTTACAACTCTGTACTTTCTATCACTTCAAACTGTATATGTCAATCGTCATGAACCATCCCCATTATCACGATTCTTATCCTTCTCGACAGCAAACACACTGATTGGTCCACTCTTACTCCTTCTCTTGGCAGCTACATGGCATTTTGCATCAGTGCATATTAATTAAAATGACCATTCCTTGTTGCAATTTATGGCTTGGGGTAATATCACTTCAGTCATAATACAAATTTACATGAAATGAAAGGAATGATCATTTTAATAGCCTTGTAAAATTTAGAGTACCAATAATGATTCCTCTCTTCTCCTCGGTGGCTTCATCAATATTTTGAGACGCATTCTATATGATCATAGTATGGCCTTTTGTATAAACCGTTTCTGCCTTACCCATTTTCGCATCACAACTCCAAAAGCTAACTTGTTGGGGCTCTCCTCTAGGTAAACAACTTGTATCAACATCAGGCATGAAAACAAAAATTGCTTTGGTTGAGATTCTATCAGGATCTTGTGATACTCTGAAGAAGGCTAAACGTTTCTCATGCATTGTCAACCCCCAATCAATTTGACGTTGGTCATTGCTCTCTTACCATCTAAATTAAAGAGGAAGCTCATGTTAGCCTCTTTTATAGTTTAACTTGACAATTTATTAGAGGAGATACAATCACGACTCACAATTCTAGAACAACCACCTCAGATAATACAATCTTATGGAAACAACACTAATGAAGCACCTAAATTACAATTTTGTACATGTTTCCTATGAGGGTGTGCATGTGCAAATTAAGAAAATTATAAGGATTAAGGAGGGAGTTTACTTGGCACGCAGTTTTGATGAGCAAAAATCCTGTCAATAAATTCTAGGTGGATATGTCCAATCGATCAGGTATAGACATGAGTATATATCAACATGCTATACTACAAACAGAAAGTGTTCGGTTTGTCCTTCCCATGACAACATATGCTCACCATGTATTTGTTCCTTGCAAAGAGAAAGATATCAAACCATCTTGCATATGCTCCAATTATCACTATCACTCATTCTTGTTATATTGTAGTAATTAGAACCCCCACTTTTAAATCTGGAAGCAAGTGACAACTATCACGAAACATCATATTGTAAAAGTTTATCTGCAATCATGAGGTTATTTCACTAAAAAACCATGGTTTATATGTTGAAGATCAACATTATAGTTTGAATAGTTCAATTCAGCAATGATCTCAGCTCTTACATATAAATTTTGTGTAAAACTGGTATGATTGAAACTATTCCCTATGTTAACACTGATCAGAATAGTCTTTGTTTACTGCAAACTAGCCACAAAAACATTTCAAATAAGAAAAATGATGATTCTGAAAAGGAGTATCATAACAAAAGCAACAAAAAATATAGCTATTTATCTTTAATAAACTCAAAAGTCAATCTAGAAGATCAACCAAATGAACTGATGTTAAGAGATCACACATTACTGTCAAAGAAACTAAATACCCATCAGTAAGCTCTCAAAGCAAGAACAATCAACTTTTCCATATTTACCCCTTCGAAAATTGCTTTGCGTAACAATAATATAGGTGGAGGAGGTTAGGTGGTTGTCGAGTTCGGCGGGAAGGTTTGGAGAGACGACAATGGTTGAGCGTTTAGTATTCCGGGATACTATTTATTTTTAATCAACTCTAAAGTCAACCTAGAAGATCAACCAAATGAACTGATGTTAAGAGATCACACATTACTGTCAAAGAAACTACATAATCCACCAGTCAGCTCTCCAAGCAAGAACACTCAACCTTTCTATCTTTACCCCATCGAAAATGGCTTTGCGTAACAATATAGGTGGAAGAGGTTAGGCGATTGTCGATTCCGGTGGAAAGGTTTGGAGAGACGGCGATGGTTGAGCGTTTAGTAGGGCGGGACACCATTTAAACCCGTTTACATTAGTTGTGCCTTTTCAATCCGCATTCGACAAACCAACATCACTCAACATTTCCATATTTACCCCTCTTTTAAAGACACATGTGCCCCATATTCACTCAAAACTTCTGTGTTCAAAATATTGTTGCTTTATGGTAGTTATATTATCTATGTCAAGAATTCTGCATCACTTCTACACATTTAATACTTCAATTCGATGTGCATTATTTGCAACAATGACAGTAGGCTTGCGTTAAAATTATTCTCCTTTTATAAGACAAATAGAAATATAATTAATGATTAAACTCAAATAAAAATAATCAAAGTATGAAAATAGAAGTATCAAATGCCAACATAATATTTAGGGGAGAGTTAGTGGCTTAGCTAATTGTGATGGAAAATTCCTATGATTTTTCAAATTTAACCTTCCTATAGATTTTTAATTTAAAAAGTTTAAACAAATTTGTTTAGTGTAACTGGGTTATGTTTCTTGTATTTTCTCAAAAAGATCACAATTCAAATGTCATCACTTGCATTTTTCCTGTAAATAAGAAAATAATAAATGACTATGAAGACGAATCTACCATTGAAAATAATAAATGACTGTGAAGACGAATCTACTATTTTCTACTTTTGCTGTGGATGCAAGGATTTTGTAATGGGGGAAGCACCTTTCCCATTTCACTATTATATTAGGTGTAGCGAAGGTAACCCGGTTGGTTGAGCATTTAGTGGGTCGGACACTATTTGGGCCCGTTTACATTAGGAGCGTCTTTTCCATCCGCATTGGGCAAGCCAACAACACTCAATATTTCCATATTTACCCCTCCAAAAATTGCTCTAACGTAACAATAGAGGTAGAGGAGGTTAGCTAGTTGTTGAATCTGATGGAAAGTTTGGAGAGACGGCGATGGTTGAGCATTTAGTGGGTCGGGACACTATTTGGGCTCGTTCATATTAGTAGTGTCTTTTCCATCCGCATTCGGCAAACCAGTATCAGTAAAACTTTCCATATTTACCCCTCTGGTAAAGATACATGTGCCCATATTAACTCAAAAGTTATATGTTTAAAAATATCGTTACTTTATGGTAGTTATAACAATTAAGTCTATATTAAGAATTCTACATCAGTTCTACACATTTAAGAGTGCAATTCGATATGCAATATTTGAATCAATGACATTTCGCTTGCTACCGTGGTGGAAAAGTCCTATGATTTTTCAGATTTAACTTTCATGTATGTTTGTAATTGAAAAAGAGCACACAAATGTGTTTATTGTAACTAGTTATGTTTCTTATCTTTATTTGAAGAGACCTTTCTTCTTTCCTTGTTTGCGATTTGGCCTACAAATGTTATATATATATATTTTTTCGTATTTGGCTGGTCTTTTGGGAATATCTATGGAAAAAACTAGGGGTGTGAATATATATGGTTAAACCGTTAAAAACATCAAAACTATGCGATATGTGATTAATCGCAAACCAAACAAATATACTCTTACGCGATTGTAATTAGCAGTATGGCATATTATCCATTTTTCAGTTTAACTGCAACTACAATCAAATAAAGGGAACGAATTAATTAACTGAATATAATAATTTTTCTAGGAAGGCCTAGCCCAGTCTTCCCTGCTGTTGGCACTTGGCAGTAGAGGTGGCAATTAGGATCCAAATCCATGAATTCAATCCAATCTATCCACCTAATTATCCACCTAATCCAATTTATTTAAATCCAATCCATTTGATCCAAATCCAATTGGATTGGTGGATTCATGGATCAATCCATGGATCCAAATGGCAAATTACAATTTGGTACCTATATTTTTTATATTTTACATTTTGGTACCTAAAATTTATATTTTTATACGAAAAATTTCATTGGAAAATTACATTTTGGCACCTAAAATTTTTCATTATGACATTTTAGTACCAAAACTTTTTAAATTTTACATTTTGGTCCAAGCCTTGGATGTCATTTGGATTCATAGATCAATCCACCAATCCATTGGATCCAATCCATTTGATCCATGGATCCACCAATCCAATCCACGAATCCGATCCAATTGCCACCTCTACATGGCAGTGTTCCTCTTCCCATAACGCCAGAAGTCTGTGACTCAATGATTTGTGCCCTGGTCAAATTATCGAGTTTGTTGTAAACTGTTATTGTTTTACGGTTTACGTTTGCATGGTTTTGGGGAGAAGTTTCAATTGATTTCTTTGGTAGATGAGGTTGGAGCTAGCATCTCCATCAATGCAATTGCAAAAGAAATTGTATTTGTGTTTTTTATTGTCAACTCAATTTTTTTCAATTCACATCACATTCATTTCATTCACCTACATCAATGCAATTAACTTGCAATTGCAAATGTAATTAAATATAAAGTTTAAATTATAGAAAATTAAGTAAAAGAGAAAAGAAAATGATATAAAATAAAATAAAAAATTCCCATTTTTGTAGACTTTTTTTACTTGCATGTGGAATTGCATTTGTTGCAAGCTTGCAAGGTTGTCAACCCGTAGGTTGACCCGGACCCGGTCGAGCTAGTGGGTCAAAGGTTAATGGGTCACCCGTTTTAGCCCGGAAATATGAAAAGAGTTATTATATTGCACTTATCCTGATAAATTATATCAAATCTCATCTAACATATAAGTAATAACATATAACATCACATCAAAATAACATGTCGTACTTAGATCCAACATATAGTGAAATTCACACACAGTTATATAACATCAATATTCAAATGTTCAACTAAGGATTCCAAAGATTGTGTTAGGCGAAAAGAAAAATAGGCGCATTTCACAATCCAAAGAAAAAAATGACAATTTGACCTCCAACCCAATACCTTGTAGCGGTCGACCCGGTAGGTGCATGCGGACCGTTTTTCTCATCGGGTCAGGGTCAAAGTGGGTCGACCCGGTGGCCGACCCGCGGGTTGACAAATTTGCAAGCATGCAAATATGCAATTGGTAGCCACATCATTGCAATTGGTTTTGCAATTGCAATCACCTATGCCATGTCATTTTGCAATTGAGAATGCAATACCAATGTGAATGCTCTAAAAAGTTCATAATTGCTGAATTTAGTGTTTCCTAGAAGGCCAGAAACCTGTCACAGTTTGTAATGAGGTTAACCGCACTTTGCAGTTAGCGATTAGCCGCTAACCATTTTCGTTAAGGTTGTTGTTAACCGCAACCACCCCATTTCCCGGACATAGAAAAAACCGAGCAAGTGATGAGACAATTCGACTTTTGATTTTTTTTTTCGACACGGGTAAAGGGTAACACAAGTAAAGATACTATAGACTAAAACATCCAACACTTGATTCTAACCTTTTCTCCTTTTATTGGGTCACAAATCACAATACAAACCAAGTAATTAACAAAATGGTAGTTAAGAAAAACAATTTGAAAGCAAACCAATAAAAAAAAGGATTAATCACCCAAAAAAACAAAACAAAACAAAAACCCTAACATTCATTCAGTTCTGACGATCGAGCACGGAGGCACCCGCGGCAAAGAACTCACAAATGACTTCCAACGGCATCCCTTTCGTCTCCGGAACTTTGAGGAACACGAACACCCACGAAAGCATGCACCCGATCCCGAAGATGGTGAAGACACCGGCAAGCCCTAGGCTGTTGAGCAGAAGCGGCGACGAGTACGTGACGACGATGTTCATAATCCAGTAGGTGAGTGCGCATATTGTTATGCACAGCCCGCGAGCTGCGGTGGGGAAAATCTCGGCGCAGAGTATGTTTGGGATAACGCCGAATCCCATCACGAAGCAGCTCATGTAGACCACCACGCTTCCCGTCGAGATGACGGCCCTAGGCACCGGTCCCATGCTCACGATGCTGCTGAACACTAGTGCAAACAGTGCCACCACCAAGATTGGGATTGTGTACAACATTATCGACCTGCAATCATTCCACGAGATTGAGAGAAAAAGAAAGAAAAAAAGCTCGAGGGTTAAAAAAAGATGGCTACTCTGTTTTGGTTAAACCGGTTAGGTAGAAGTAGGGGTGTCAGTTCGGTTACCCAAATCGAAATCCGAAAAAACCCGAAACCGAAAATCACTAAAACAGAACTCGAACACGATAAGAACTTGTGGGTTCTGGTTACCCGAAACCCGAAAATTCCTTATCGGGTTCGGTTAAAAATACGGGCCGAGTTCTATTCATTGGAGGTTTTTAGCCAGAACCCGAAAAACCGATAAGCAAACCAAACCCGAAACCAAAATACCCGAAACGAACCCGAAAAACCGAAAATGTATATAATCAGGTCGGTTTCGGGTAAACCCGAAAAACCGAACCCGAATGGACACCCCCTAGGTAGAAGTATGCGAGAGTTTGGAGTTACCTTCTGCCGGCGACGTCCATGATCCTCATGGAAAGCATAATGCAGGGGAGCATTACAATAGTGGAGAAAAGGCTGATGAGGATGGAGGCCGAGTCGGATCGCAATCCGAGACTTGCTAGTAGAACCGAAACGCCTGCTTCTTGTAGAATCTGGGGAGCGTAGTAGAGCACCCCATTGATCCCTGAAATCTGTTGGAGAAATTGGAGCACAACTCCGACAACCAGAGCGCGCTTAATCCCTGGCTCAAAAAGGTCGGCGCATCCGGTGCCTTTGCTGTCCTTCTGCGACCGCCGTCCTCCGATTTCTGGCTTCCCGCCGCTGAGAACATCCTTGGAGCAAACCGCCGTCTGGCTAACAAGCGCGGCCGCGGGAACAAAATCCCCGCCCCCAATTTCCTCAACATCCATCGCACCACCAATGCCGGAAATCATTGACCCTCTCCTCGACCCTCCCGCCGCCGCTCCGCCGTGAAGGTACACCCTCTGAAGCCCACCTTCCTTCTTCTTGTACGCCAGTTGCCACCCTCCCCCAATCCCAACCCCGACTTCCTCCCCTGCACCCGCCGCCGCCGCATTGAACATGCTGCTTCCGTACCCGGACGGCCTCGATGAAGCCGCCGGGTAGTCCTTTCCGGAGCCCTGCAGCTGCTGAAGCAGAGGGCTCTTGTTGTCCTCCGCATCACCACCGGAGTAATCGTGATCGGCACCGCCGTCTTCTTCCCCCTGTGGAGGTCAATTTAGTTAACACTATTTTACTGTTATTTTAAAATCAGGAATTTGATAACAGCGAGGCGTACCTGATTATTTCCGGCACCGGTGATCATGTTGAGCATGCTGGAGGTGCCGGGGAAGAACATGCTCCCGCGCATGCTTCCGAACATGGATCCACCGCCGCCGGCGGGGAGGTTGTTCTCGTGGACGCTTCCGAACAGAGTGACGAGTGGATCCATTAGAGGTACATTCTGGTTTGCCATGCTCCCCTGGCGCGACGCAATCCCCAGGGTGCTCTGTCCGGCTACTGGCTTTGCCACCCATGACACTCCTTCCTCGGTGCCGTACAGTCGGACTTCTCCGATCTTGTCCGCCGGTGGCTCGCCTTCGTCGTTGGCTGGGCCGATTATGTATTCTTCTATTGATGGGTCTTTCCCCACGCCGAGTCCTTCCAGTAGCAGAGCCATCTCCCCTGTGATTAAACAGTAAACCGTTGTATAATTGGAAGAATGAAAATCATCCTAAATTCACAACCAAATAAAAATGAAAGAAGGAAAATTTACGATCATCGGTAAAAAAAAACCATTTTACCTGCAACATCCTCCCTACCGCGAAGCCTCTGCAAAACGAGTCTAGCCTCATCCAATCTCCCTTTACTGACGAGCCACCGAGGCGATTCCGGCAAGAAGAGCACCGTCAACACCAAATAAGACAGAGAAGGGATCGCCAGAACACCAAGCATCACTCTCCAATTAGGCGAATCCTGAAGCGACATGATAAACACCATTATATACGACAGGAACATCCCTCCCGAACCCAAGAACTGCGGCAGAGTATTCAGCGTGCCCCTGATCTCCGACGGCGCGGTTTCGGAGATGTAGAGCGGGATGAGCGTGACGGCGAGCCCGATCCCGAACCCATCGAGCAGCCTCGCAACCAGCAAGACATAGACATTAGGAGACCATAACATGACCAAGCTTCCGACGAGGTAACAGAGCGACGAGAGGATTAGCATTGGACGGCGGCCGAACACGTCGGCCACCGGACCGGAGAATGTCGTGATCAACGTCCCGCCCATCAGCGACATTGCCACGATCAGACCTTCCATTGTCGGTTGAGACTCTAGATGGAATTCCCTTTTTATGTAAATTACAGCCCCTGAATCGAATCAAAAAATCATACAAAAGTATCGAATCATAATCATACACAAAAATGAAAAGAAAAAAAAAGAAACTAAAATTCTTTGGTAGACTGCGGAGGTACCTGCAATGGTGGAATTGTCCCATCCTTGTAAGAAGTTGCCTACTGTAGCGGCGATTGCTACAAGCACCGCTCCTCTCATGGTGATTTTGCTCTCTGATCCAACTGTGATTATGGTGTAAAGATTATCTATCCATAATGTGTGGATGGTAGGTTTTTTACCGCGGTGAAAATTAGGAGGATGATGGTGATGAGAAAATATGAGGGGAATGCACACGAACAATAGAAATCACAGTTGGGGAAGCCTAAATCCGTCCCGGGAGAAGGATAAGAGTGGAGAGAAATAAAAGTTAATATGATGCGCCAACTGATTGATTATGGTAAAATTGAAGTAATTAGTGGAAAAATTTGCCAAAAGGAGGAAGAAAATCAAGAAGGAATTGAAAGATAAAAATTTCTTGACAAGGGGGAGATGTGGAGGAGAGGAGTGGATCCAACAAACAAGGGAGGAGTAGTGGAGTAATTAGAAAAAGTTGGGATGGCGGTCAAAAGGTGAAGGAAATCAGGACACGTTTTTACAAGACAGTAGAATAGTTGGGATTTGTTTTTTAACCATTTACCGATTTCAATTCTCCCGGCAATTGGCAATCGGAAATGAGTAAATCATGTGGCAGTTGGGCCAGTATGATACTTGACTATTGAGTTTTTTTTTTTACAATATTTATAGTGAGTTGTTGACCGAAAAATAATCCATTATAAATTCTGTGTTGGGCCCGGTTTTGAAAAGTGGTTGGGATGAGTTAGCGTGGTAAATATTATTTTAGTAGTTATGGTTACCAAACTCTATATTTTTATTATTTTCTTTGTTTTTTCTTTTTTTTTTTTAATTTGACTGCCAAGATTGCTATAAGGATAGTTTTGGAAAAGAAAAAAAAATATCACACGTGATTATTGCTATTTAAATCCTAACGTATCCCCACCTTACTCTCTCCCGTCCGCCTCATGTCGAAACGAGCGACGAAACATGAAAAGCAAGACACGAGAGAAGAGTTTTTTAACGTGGTATCGTCAGGATGACACTAGTTCACGAAGAGGATCTCACTCTCAGGTTTTAATATTAGGTATTTTAAACTCTACAATGCTACACGAGTATAATATTTATAGCCAATGCAAGACACTAATCCTAACTACACACGGCTAGCTTCCAATCCTCATAATACACCGTACATCCCATTAATCAAAGGCCCATATAATTAACACCCTCTCTCAAATTGATGTTGAGTTTGCAACATTAATTTGGATGATAGATACTAATGTCTACTGGATGAAACAACCTTTGGTAATAAATCTGGTGTCTGATCTTCAGTTGTCAAATAACGATGAATGCAACTAGATGGAACGATGATTGGATGTCATAACTCGATTGGCTATCTGATGCGAGCATATTCTTCGAAGAATGATGGGAGTATCATCTTTCCCTTTGTTTTGCTACAGGATTTCATTTAGGATTTGAAGCATTATATGCTTTTGTTTGTTTTGATTGATTAATAATCTCTCTAAATAAGATGAGTGCTAGTAAGCCTAAGCCCCTATATCGAAATTCGAATGACAAATTAAGAAACCTGTTCCATAGCTCACTATATTTTAGTCCATTGAGAACAATGTTCATTTAAAGTGTGTGGTGGAGTTGTGTTGATGTTACTTAATTATGCTTGATACATGATATATTTTTAGTCGCTCAATTTTAAAATTTTATCCAAATTCAACTAGTTTTATGATTTATCTGAAAGTTTTTCGAAAATACTAAATATATTTTCCATCTAATGACTTATAGTCATCCCCTAAAAGCATGTTCACTGCTCATCTTACTTTGAATCAATGAGTGTAGGAAATATCATTCATTCTAGGGAGGATAGTGTACTGACTATGAATGATGCGATAGTCAATGAGATATAATGATCATTTAATGTTTTTGATTGATATGTTGTTTAGTTCATTTATAGATTTCAGATTATGCAAAAGAGTCTCATGTTTGTTAAAAGATTTCCAAAGGGTGAATTGTAACTTCTATAAAAATGAAAAAACTACCTATCAAGACATGTTTGAATCATTCAAAATTTGCCATGTTATATGAGAAATAAATTATGGGGTAACCCCAATGGGTGAGACATTTATTCATTGAAAAAAAAAAAAAAAGAGGTTTTGGAAGAGATAACTAGTTGAGCTTTAGTGGGGAAGTCCTACAATGTGATTCTAGTACCTCGCTAGTACAAATAAAATTCTCACATGTTCACTGATAGCCAACTTTAAGATGTGTTATTAAGGGCATAGATAAAGCTTCTGCCACCCCTTAATTTCATTGACCCTCCAAATGAATTGAGGTTTAGGAGCTTCTAGATCTTGCTTAACCAATAAGGGTCTAATGCTCTAGTAAATAGAGAGAGCTTCCTGCATAAGAAAATCATAAGAAGAGATGTTCAAAGGAGAAGAAAATTGGAAACAGATAAAAAGAGTTAAGAGTATGTTTTCTAATAAGGCAAAGTGCTTAGAGGTATGTCAAATGATGGTAGAAGCATTCAAGCTCCAACATGTTTATCAAAAGCTTTTACCCTATGTGTTTGATGTTCATGCATATTGATGTGGTTAGGACTCTCTCGTGCTTTTGTTGACCTTGTAATTTTACTTGTTATCCACTACCTAAGATCGAGTTTGAGTAATGGTTCCTAGTGTTCATTGAGTTGTATGATTGTGAGTAGTGTTTGCTTGGAGACAACCAAAGTTCAAGTATGAGGTATTTCACACTATATTTCTAGTGTTTATCACTCGCATATTTGATGCATTGTCCCTTCTATCAATACATCTTTACTGGTTTCATTATATTTCATATGGAATTCATAATTATTTGATTTATTAGCTTATGATAGGCCTTGTGTATTTTTGTACTATTTTATGCCTTTTGGTGTTGTTTTGTGCTTTTCCAGGGTATAATGCTCTCAAGGCTAATATAAAACACCAAGAGACCTAATGGACCAGAAGGAGGGCGAGAATACAAGTTCATGGGGTCTAACAGAGATAGATTATGAAATTGGAAACTGAAGTTATGGACCAAGAAATAGTATTATGAAGAGAAGAGAAGTCAAACGATGTCCAAACGAGCTGAAATTTTAGGAGCGGCCCAATGAGACCAAGATGAAGTTGGTCACAGAAAATGAGCTGATTTGGAGAAGAAAATCCCCCTGCGAGTCCAACCACTTTCCAGACGCCGCTCGGGCTCAATCCCTCCATAAACTTCCTATTCAAGATTACTTCGTCTCCAAGTCGAAGAATTTCAAATTCAAGTTTTACAAGGAAGTTTTGGTTGAATTTAGGAGGAAAAGAACTAAAACCCCTTCTATAACTAGTATGATGCTAGGCTAGAGGTTTAGACACACCTTTTAGCCAACACTCTGCCTCACTAGGCACAAGTTAGAGATTCATAGAGAGGAGGTGAAGCCCTATTGAAGTTTGACTAGGATGATGCGCCATCGATGTTCTTCATCATTGGTGATGTCTTCCTACACTCTCTTGTATTGCTAGCTCGATCTGCTTAGATATGTGAATTCTATGATGTTCATGCATTTTTCTATGAGTTAATAAGATGCTTATGTCATTCAATGCTATGGTCATTTATGCTTGTTCCTTTAGATGCATTATTGTATTTGTGATGCTTTAATCATCTATTGTTTATATCATCGATGCTCTACATCATCTAGTGTTATAACGATTATATGCGTGTGACCCCTATTAGATGCTACTATAGTATTGTGCTTAATATCATTGAGATTTATAATAAATTACCCTATTGTGATATCCCATTGTCTTGTGTATGCTTGTTTAATTGGATGCATCTATGCATGTTTACATGAGATCAATGCTCGATTCTTAGATCATCGATACTATAGACTATGAGTTATGGATCAAGAGGCCCACTCTTAACCATATGATATCCTAACTTCCGTATTCTTCATTGATTAGGTTATGACATGAAGCGATATCACATATTAGCTAGTAAAGTTCCTATTGTATGTGGCAAAAACTAGAGTAGGATGACCTTAGTGGAAGGGATAGGGCATTATAATAAATGATGCAAAGATGCATCTTATTAAGGAGAATGAATGCATAATCATCTAGAAAACACTAAACATTAGTTTTACTTGATTGCTTTGTTTGTTTGTTTTGTGCATTAGTAGTGTAGTAGTTCGAGTAAAGGGCACCTCAACCCATCATATTTACTTTCCTTTGCATCATCATCGCATAAAAATTGGTTAGGTTTGAGTAATTATCATCCAAATACCTTGTGGAATATGACCATAAGACATGCTAGGAATTATCACTCGATTGCTACGTCACCTGTTACATTGCCATCACTCATATAGCCTGCGAACAAACTTTTTTTTTGACAAATTGGGGCACTTTCATTCCAATTCGAAACAGTGGAAGTACAGTTGATTACAAAAAAGGAGACAACAAATCGGCAACAATGATCCAATCTCGTGGGAGAGCACCTAATCTTGCATTACGAGCAACCCAGTCGGCCAACAGATTGTGACGTCTAGGAACAAACATCACTTTCACCCACGGAGCCGAGACGAGAATGGTCGAAACACGAGCAAGTAAAGCCCGACATTGCCAAGGCCACTGGTCCGGAACAAGCTTAAGAGCATTCACCAAAATCTGACAATCAGATTTGACACAAGCTGAGCGTTGTTCCCGAGCCGCCAATGTCACTCCAATGAGAATAGCATAAGCTTCCGCCTGCATCGAATTGGAACAAAAGAATCTCTCAACCTTGCCGTCATACACCTGACCGTGGGAATTAGCAACTGTAATCCCACAAGCCGCCATCTGTGATTCTGAAACAAAGGAACCATCACAGTGCACAATCCTATGAAAGACACTAGGCGGTGGTGAGGGGTTTGATCGGGATCCCCTAGGTTGAGTAGGCTCCATAGCTGAATGAGAAGGAGAGAAAGAACGATCACAATTTCTAGCTTCAGCCAAGCCTAGAAAATCTCTTCCAGCTAACGCAGCCGTTGAGGGCGGGGAAATAGCCCTGTTCTCGAAAACGAACCCGTTCCGAACGATCCAAATATTCCATAAGCAGCATATAATCCTCTTGATCTCCTCATCCGACACATTCTCTCTAAGGGAGAAGAACCACTCCGCCAAATTAGTCTCGGGTGTCGGTGGGATGGAAAGCCCTCCAAAGCACTCCCATGTACTCTTAGCGTGCAGGCAGTGAAAGAACATGTGCATGATCGACTCCACCTGATGTTCACAAATGGGGCACAAAGGATCCGTCAAACACATTCGAGAGAGGAGACGCTCACGAGTCGCAATTGCACTCTTTGCACTCTTCCATAAGAAGAAACGAAGCTTTGGTGGGACGGACAGGGACCAGAGCCATTTCCAGTCTTGCCTATTGGGGTGAGCCTCATTTGAACCTGCAGACAAAGACAAAGAAGCATGGTCTCTAGATTCTCGCAAAGATCTATAAGCTGAACTTACCTTGTACGCCCCTGTAGTTGTGTACTTCCAAACCCATTTATCCTCATCTGTAGATGGGCCGATTGGAATACTCCTGATAGCCTTAACTATCTCCTGGGGGACAACTTCTTGTAAAGCCTCCACATTCCATTCCCGGGTTGAGGAAGAAATCCAATCACAAACTCGAGATGGTTCCAAATTAAAGCTCTTGAGGGAGAACGATGGTAAAGATGGTAGCCATGGATCACAATGAAACATCGTTCCTACCCCTGACATAATCCCTTTAACCCATCCAATCTTCAAAGCATCTTTAGCATCACAGAACCCATTCCAAATCCATGATCCTTTTCTTCCTTTTAAGGCTGAATACACATCCCCATTGGCAAAGTAGAGACCCTTAAGTAATCGAACCCATAACGCATCAGGATTCTCCAGCATTCGCCAAACTTGTTTTCCAATAAGAGCCAGGTTGAAAAGGTGGAAATTCCTGAATCCCAATCCTCCTTCTTCCTTCGGTTTTTCTAGAACTCGAGCATCACACCAATGTATTGACTTCTTTTTCATGGATCCCGACCAGAAAAACCTCTTAAGAATAGAGTCCATCTTGCTAGTAAGGGATAAAGGTAGAAGGAAGACGCTCATGATATAAGAAGGGATTGCTTGGATTACAGCTTTTAAAAGAACTTCCTTCCCTCCTGGTGATAACAAAAGACTCTTCCATGACTCTCCCTTCTTCTCCATTCGTTGCAACAAAAACTGGAAAGTTTCTTTTTTTGATCTTCCCCACACAGATGGAACTCCCAGGTACTTATCATGACAGATGGACGGGGGAAATCCAAACTTATTCGTCACCAAGTTCCTAATTGCTTCTGGGGTATTATTGCTGAAGAAAAGTGAGGATTTAGAAGCATTAATCTCTTGTCCAGTAACCTCTCCATAGTGTCTCAGTATTCTTTGTATATGATCAGCCTCATTGACACTTGCTTTTCCAAATATCACCGTATCATCAGCGAATAAACAATGTGATACTCTTGGGCAATTCTGGTTAAGCTTAATACCACGAATCTCTCCCCTGGACACTGCTTTATCAACAAAAAAAAGACAGAGCGTTAGACATAAGAATAAACAGGAAGGGTGAGATAGGATCACCTTGTCTAATGCCTCGGGTGGGAAAGAACGGCTCTGTTGGGCTGCCATTCAAGAGGATAGAGAACTTCACAGTTCGAATACATGCATTGATCCAACCTCTCCACTTCTCTGAGAAACCATAAGCTTCAAGAATAGTGTCCAAGCAATCCCAATCAACCATATCATATGCTTTACGCATATCAAGCTTGATCATCATATCCCAATCCCCATTTCGACGATTCTTAAAATGATGAAGAATCTCATGGACAATGATAATATTATCCTGAATCAGTCTCCCTCCCGTAAAAGCTGCTTGCATCTCCGAAACTAATCCTGGAAGCCACTTCTTCAACCTACTGGTAAGGATCTTCGAGATGATTTTGTACTTGAAGTTGCAACAACTAATAGGTCTGAACTGTGAGATCATTTCCGGTGATTGAACTTTAGGTAACTTGATGTTGAAAATAGACAACCAATATAGAGGGAATGCACATGCGGAGGGGGCATTTGGGTCGCCCCTGTGTGAGTTACTCTCTGAGTCTCTGTTGCAGGTCTCATTCCCAATCCCAATATTATTTTTAAATTTCTGTTTCTAGTTAATGATTTTCTTTGTCTCTAAATTAAAAAATTATATACAAAATTTTGGTTTAAAAATGTTAATTAACGATGAAAATGAAATTGAAAAGTACAAATTAGATTGCAAATAAGTATATATTGAATATATAAGAAAAGGTCTAGTTTATTAGAAGAACTTAAAAATGTGAGATGTGAAGCTAAATTTGAAAATTTTCAAAGTCTAAATTTAATTTGGATTGGAATTAGTCTAAGTAATTGCATGCCTCAAAAGTCAAAAGATAAAAATAACAATGAAGGCGGGGAAGAGCAAGGGCACTATTAGAATTTATGACACAAGGGGAGGGGTAAATACGTCCAATTCGAGTACGAAGAGGAGAATGCTAGGGTTCCAGTCGAATGCGGGACATATAAATACGTTTGTATCTTGGCAGTCGCAGAATTCAATAGCCTCTCTTGAAATCTCGGTTGAATCGAATCGGAACAATGGGCGTTTTCACTTTCGTGTGCAAAAGCTCCGGCGACGAGTGGTGCGGCAAGCAGATCTCCGGTGACTTGGAGGCATCTGCGGGTTCCACCTTCGACCTGCAGAGGAAGCTCGTTCATGATGTTCTCGCCACCGATTCCTCCGGCGGAGTTAGGTCTTCGTTCTCGCTCATCTCTCCCAGCTCTGCCGTTTTCCAGGTTCGATCGATTGCACGCTTATCGTTTGTGAATAAACTTCTCGCCGTTCTCCGCTCGAGATTCGTGGACTGATCTGACGTTATCGTATTTCAGGTGATCGTCGGTGGCGCTGTTGCAGGCGGAGGGTTCACCAGCAGCGGTGGTGGCGGTGGCGCAGGAGCAACAGCAGCGGCCGCAGCGGAGCCTGCAGCAGAGGAGAAGAAGAAGGAAGAGGAGAAAGAGGAGAGCGACGATGATATGGGTTTCTCGCTGTTCGATTAGGTTTTTCTTTACGCAGTATTTGTCTGTTTTAGTTATCGTTTTTTAGCAGCTATGGATGGATTTCCTTATTTCTACAGTATCAATGTTTAAAGGGGGGTTTCTGGGATATTGAGAATTTTGAGAAATTCCCTAGTTTAAGTTCACAATTTTTGATCTTGATGATTATACATCAATGTGTTTTTGCATTAGCTGTGTTCTTGATCGATGCTTGCTATAATTCATGATTAAATAACTTAGGATAGCGTAGCCCATCGTTATATGCTTCTCTCAGTATGGTTAGCTTACCTAGGCTGCAGAATTGAAGTTTCCTTCTGGCATTGTGAAGGAAGTTCCATGATCATAGCCAAAACCCTTCTGGGTAAAGGTTTACAAAGGAACGGGAATTAGGTTTTGAAATTATCATGCTGTCTTTTGCCACAGCCATGGCTTTCGTGGCTTGTCAAGTGTTACTGTGTTGTTTGTTTGATCCAAGGAGACTTAGCATTCACCTTCGTTGGAGTTTATATCTCGTGTCAACGTTATAGGACGTTCTCTACCTATGCTGTATGATTTAGAGCTTTGTTTAGTTCATATGGTTGTTCCCTCTTCTAATCATCCCCGATCTGGGTTACTTGGATGAACTTAATAGCATTGTTCAGGTCTCTGCACTTGAGCACCAACTTAAATGGTTCTGGGGCAAGGACATGAACTGAGACAACCTAATGGTGGAGTACTGATGGGATGGATGGAGTTCGATCGGGATAAGAACAATTAACAATACCTACTGTAAATCCTTAATTCAAAAGAGAGATATAGGGACGGAGGTAGTGTTCCGTCTAGCCATAGATTCTTCGTCACTTGTTGGCATCGTTGTTGAGTTAAATTGCTGCCATCAGCCACCATTGTGGTGCTTTCTTGCTGTTAGTCATGATCGATGTACATCGCTTACCTGAGAAGATCACTACTAGAAGTACCATGTCAACCCTCTGCAGCAGGGTGAATGAGAAATTTCGAAGTTGTGGAGGTGGTTGATTAGAGCGAGGATTGGAGTGAGATTTCGAAGTAGGGGTGTGCAATGGTTCGGTTCGGACTAGACTAAACTCATGAGAATTGTCCATTAGTATAACTTATGGGTTAAAGACACATTTGGTCACTAAGATTACTAAATCGGGACATATATAGTCACTAGAAAAAATTAATATCAATTTTAGTCACTCGAATTACTTAAGCAGGTCACATTTAGTCACTCTTCGTTAGATTCCGTCCAACTCCGTTAATGAATTCCGTTAAGTGCTGATGTGGCAAACAGAATTGCCTAATTAGCGTCATTTTGGGCCGGAAATGGTCAAACCCGACCCGCCACGTCACTAAACCCGCCATGTCATACACCCAACCCATTAACCCTACCCACTAACCCAACCCTAGCCCACTTTAACAAAACAAAATTGGAAATCCCTAGCTTTAACTCGTTCTCCTCTTCTTCACCGTCGCTTCCCCAATGAAACGAAAGCTTCTCATCATCAACCTCTCCTCTCTACTTAATCAAGCTGAGCATACCAAACCTCCTGAATCTTCACATCCTTGAGGCGCCCAAATCGATGTCCGACGGCTGAACGCTCTCAAAAACCCCAATCACCTCCCCTGTCTCCGGCTTGCTCTTGGTCACACTCAATGTAATTTTCCCCTTCGACGCCGCCGCGTTCTTGACATTCTCCTTCGCCAGCTCTTCCTCATCCCCTCTCCCGCTGGGGGCAGCGCCACCGCGTTGTCATAACCCTGGGACCCGCCTCTGCCCTTTGGGTCCAAGAATGATGACCCTCTGTACCTGGGAACCAAAAACTCATCGCTGAATCTCTCTGGTTTTCCAGAAGCAACGAGTTGCTTCACCGTGAAGAGGAAAGGGACCCTCTCGCCTCCGGGGAGCTGGACGGGGAAGGGTGTAGTCGATGCCATCTTTCTCCTCGAATTTCATGATGTTGTCGGGGGAGACCTCGAAGGGGCCTTCTCATCGTCATGATCTTGCAACTGCTGCTGATGTTGTTTCATTGGGGAAGACGGCGGTGAAGAGGAGGAGAATGAGTTGGAGCTTTTCCAATTTTGTTTTGTTAAGTGGGCTACAGTTGGGTTGTTGGGTAGGGTTAATGGGTTGGGTGTATGACATGGCTGGTTTAGTGACGTGGTAAGTCGGGTTTGACCATTTCGGGCCCAAAACGGCGCTGACTAGGCACTCTCGTTAGCCACGTCAGCACATAACGGACTTTATTAACGGAGTTGGACGGAGACTAACGGAGAGTGACTAAATGTGACCTATTTTAGTAATTCGAGTGACTATAATTGATATTAATTTTTTCTAGTGACTAAACATGTCTTAATTTAGTAATCTCAGTGACCAAATGTGTCTTTAACCCTATAACTTATCTTAGGACTAAGGATTGGATCATTATTTCATTTGGCCAAGTTTGGTATGATCTAAATAACTCTGTCCGTTTTTCTACAATAATTGTAATATTCATTGGACCAAGGATCGAACTGCATTATTGACGGTTCGGTATCCGATCCAAACATCAATTTGGTTTGATGCGGTCTTGTATGAACCGGATCATTGCTCACCCCTATTTGGAAGTAACCACTAACTCGTAGATGATGGTAGGTTGTGATGGCTGACTTAGAATGTGAACACCAAATTAGTTAACATGGTGTTACACTAACCTCGATTAATAGAAAATTTTCTATTCTGATTTTTTATATTGAAAGAGTCGACCACAATTATATTATAACTTTTAAAGCATGGACATATTTGTCATTTTCAAAAAAAAAATTAGTGCAACACGCCGCATGTGACATTGCCCAACCAATTATTATGCATTCTATCCCAAGCTGGCAACGGTCACAACTATCATGAAGCGTATCATAAAATGGACACCATAAATATGACAAATTACAACACACATAAAGTAGACTAGAAGTTCACCACTCCACAATACTAACAAAGCAAACCACAAAACTCACAAGAAGTTTCCTCAAGTAGACCACAGAAAACTCATAAATCTTACCATGCATATCATGAAGCAAACCAGAAAACTCAAACCAGACCAGAAACAAGACAAACCACACCACAAAACTCATAATGTAAACAAGAAGTCTTATAAAGCTGAATAGAAAATGTAGAAAGCACATCACAAATACTACAAAACTCACTAGTCACCACACCACAAAACTTATAAAGTATACCAGATTCCTCATAAAGATAATCCCACGTTTCCTGAACAAGACCAAAAATCTTATAAAGCTGACCACAAGTATCTTGACGCAAGTCGGAAATACAACAAACCAAACTACAAAACTCATAACGCAGACCAGAAACCTTATAAAGTATGTCAGAAAATGTAGAAAGTGTTTGCACCAACTTCTCTTTTCTCTTCTATCCTCTCCTCTAATATTGATTGATTTGATTTCGAAGAAATTAGGATGGTATGGAACACTAATTCTTGCAACCACTGAAAACCTTCCTATCCTTGTTTAGAAAAGAAAAGATGGGAAGAACATAAATATAATAGGGAGAGGAAAGACAACTGACTATGGAAGGCGTAGTCTAGCTATGTTGCTCACAACCCTTCATGTGAGTATATACTCACACGGTAAGGATAGTGGCCATGCGAGCGGAGTTCAGATCCAAGGATTGGGGCTCACTGGCTAAGGGAATGACTCATTTAAGTGGATTTTAATGGCTTTTCGATTGAGAGCCAAGCTAGCACAGAGAACTAGTATCCAAAATTCAAAAACTAGTATCCTAAATGCACGAACTTGTATTTAATGCCACCCACCAACTATTCTCACACGGGAGAGAGAAAGCATCACGAACTAATATTCATATCGCCCAATCTAATATCCGTCTGTGTTGAAGTAGTATCCATGTTTTGTTGAACACTTGGTAGCATTTTGTATTTATGAACTAGTATCAATAGAGCACAAATTAGTATCGAGACTCACAAAACTAGTATTCAATCAATCAATTACCAACTAATATCCACAATCAAACCAACTAGTATTCAAGGGTTGCTAACTAATATCGATCAGTGCACTTGGTAGCACTTTCATATCGATTAGTATACATGAACTTGTAACCACACTATGATGTAGTAGTATTCATTATTCAAGTATACATGAGAGCACAAACTAGTATCCAGAGAGCACTGACAAGTATTCAGGAATCACAGAACTAGTATTCAGACTCAAAGAATTAACAACTAAAGCCAATCAATACCGAACTAATATCCACATTGAAAACAACTATTATTCAAGGTTGTTAAATGATATACATCATGAAAACAATATGTATTCCACATTCACGAATTAATATCCAGATAACACAGAAGAGTATACATACCTCATAGAACTAGTATTTAGAAAAAAACCAATTTACAAACTGGTATCCATGGCATTAAATAGCAATGATCTACAAAATATAACCGAGAAAGTCAAGAAACCCAGAAAGCCAAGAAATAAAATAAAAAATCAGAAAAAGCCAAGAAACCCAAAAATATATATATAACAATCGCGGGAGAGGAAAATCCTACCATAAAAAAATAAAACCGAATATCACACCTCTATGAGAAGGGACAATATAGTAGCTGTTACTAACCATAAACAATTTCAAATCGGTCATCCGTGACTAAAGTTTCTAACAAATATTTAAAACTGCCTCACAAATTAAAACACACAAAAATTTGATCATTTTCAAAATAATACTTAGGATGGCAGTAGATAGTAAACCACGTAAAGCAAACAAAGAGGTTGAGAAATGAAAGAAGATGAAACAAAAATAAAATTAGTAATGAAGGTTGATGGCCTTAGTTCACGTTAATATTTTTATTCGAAGTATTTTTTGTGTTAAAAATTGTCATCCAATAGACCAATCAAATCAAGGTGGTTCATCTGATTTCATATTCAATCGCTAAAAATCGTTCTTTACGTCCCTGATCCTCCAAACAAACAAACCTAAACCTTTATTAAAATTGGTTTGATGGTTCTACTTGCTCTATTCTTATAATAAGGGTTGTAACTTCTAACTTGTAACGTGTGATATTGTGTCAAGAAGGGTGGTAAACATAACATCTTATAACAGGAAGTGTGACACGTATTATAATTTATTGGTTAGTGCTGATACTGATAAGAGCGCCTGTAGCTCAGTGGATAGAGCGTCTGTTTCCTAAGCCGAAGGTCGAAGGTTCGACCCCTTCCTGGCGCGTTATTTTTATTAAATTTGTTCAGAGAAAATCTGTCGGGAAAATTTTCCACTGTACACATGTTTTTAAAAAAAATTCTCAAAATACACATGTTTTTAAAAAAAATTCCCAAACTACGCATGTTTGGGTCTTCACCGCGTCAGACTAAGGCGGTGATTGCTTCACCGCGTTAAACAAGGGCGGTGATGCAATCACCGAGTTAGAGAAAAACGGTGATAGCTTCACCGCGGATTCTCAAAATACACATGTTATGAAAAAAATTCCCAAACTACGCATGTTTGGGTCTTCACCGCGTTAAACAAGGGCGGTGATGCAATCACCGCGTTAGAGAAAAACGGTGACTGCATCACCGCTGTAGACAAAAACGGTGATAGCTTCACCGCGTTCGACGGCCGCGGTGAAGGCCTGACCTGCGTCGAATCTTTAAAAAAACGTAACTTTGTGCTCGGTTATCCGATCGTGGTGAATTTTTTTTTTATTCCACATAGATTTTCGAGATCTTGCAAGCCGCAACGTTTGCGGCTTGCAAGATCTCGAAAATCTATGTGGAATCAAAAAAAAATTCACCACGATCGGATAACCGAGCACAAAGTTACGTTTTTTTAAAGATTCGACGTAGGTCAGGCCTTCACCAGGCCTTCACCGTTTTCCTCTAACGCGGTGATGCAATCACCGTTTTTGCCTAAGGTGGTGATGCAATCACCGTTTTCGTCTAACGCGGTGATTCAATCACCGCCTTTGTCAGACGCGGTGAAGGCCCAAACATGCGTAGATTGGGAATTTTTTTCATAACATGTGTATTTTGAGAATTTTTTTTAAAAACATGTGTACAGTGGGATTTTTTCCAATCTGTCGTGAGTAGGAGGCCTTCCTGGCGCGCGTTCCTTTTATTAAATTTTTTCAGAGAAAATCTGTCGTGGGTAGCTTTGGGTTAGTGGATAAAATATTTTGGTGATGATAGTATTGAGCTCAACGTCATTTGAAAACCCTTGAAATTTAAATTAATCTCTATTCTTTATACTACAGATGATTATTGTTATAAAATTTAGAAAATTAATGTGTTTGTTAGCAGTATTGTGTTTAAGAACTTGAATTTATTTTCAAATCTATTAATTTTTCCAAATTCAATTCATTAATTCTTATGTTCCTCTTTGGGTATCGTGGGTAGCTTTGGGTTAGTGGAAAAAATATTTTGGTGATGATAGTATTGAGCTCAACATCATTTGACAACCCTTGAAATTTAAATTAATCTCTATCCTTTATACTACAAATGATTATTGTTATAAAATTTAGAAAATTAATGTGTTTGTTAGCAGTATTGTTTTAAGAACTTGAATTTATTTTCAAATCTATTAATTTTTCCAAATTCAATTCATTAATTCTTATGTTCCTCTTTGGAAAAAACCCTTTTAAGAACCCTACTCCAATTCTTACTAAATAAAATATCCATATATAGTTAATTTGGATAATTGGTTTGGTTAATTTTTTTAATTTGTTTGGTTTAGATGGTTTGATTTCAGACACTCTTAACCAATCAAACTCAATTAACTAGTTAAGTAATTAATCATATATCTAATATATATTATATACACATAAATTTTTTTATTGAAAGGATGCTAATAAAATTAGCCAGGGGAATATACTGGCGTCACTAGAGCTTTGCCCAGATAACAAAGTAACAGCTCAGCCAACTGAGAAAGCCACCCC